CGAGTAGATATTTGTTGATAGATCTCTCGGCGCACAACTTTATCAAATTTCATTGTTTTACTCTGCTTCATAAGTGTTTGTATCATCGTTGGGCTCTATTTGCTCGATCCTGGCCTTTGGAGATGAAATTCTGGAGAATCGAACGTAGGCTACCTCGGGGAATCCTGAGTGCATCCATTTACCTCTCATGTAGGCACAATGAAGGCATAATGAATTTCCATTATACATGATAGAACATGATGGAGTCGGTGGAATTTTCCCACTTTAATAAAGAGGAGGCAATCGAAGTGCAGCAACCAAATTATTTATGATTTGTAACGAGCATCGGGGATGCCCGTTAGGATCCCCAATAAAAATCCAAAAATGGAGAGAGAGAGAGGCAGTTGGGACGTAGGTTAGGTTTAGGGAAATTAGGATTTCCCCCCTTTTGGGGTGGTTTAGAATAGGTTAAGGGTTAGAGGGAGTTTTAGAGGATAGGGTCAGCCCTCCGGATCGGGTAGGTCCGGCTAAAAAGCCGGCGCTCCAGGAAAAGGGTTTAAGGGATTAATTGGTACGGGTGGAAGGCCGTACGGGGTAAAAATATTAACAACCCCGACGGATTGCCAAAGACTGAATACGGGTGGAAGGTCGTATGGGGCAGATTCAGTCACTACCCCTACGAATTGCCAAGACTGAATACGGGTGGAAGGCCGCACGGGATAAATTCAGTCGTTATCCCGGCGGATTGCCAAATTAATTAAGGGTTAGGGAAATAAAATTAGGGTTAAGGATTTAGAAATAAGGGTCTTTTAGTCACGAGAATCCCGGAGAACCGATCGGGAAAGAGAAACACGGGCGATAGGAAAATTTTAGGATTGGAGAATTAATTCAAATTTGAATTAATTCCCCCGCGAAGGGCTTGACCTAGAATAAGGTAGAGGGATCCACCAATCGACACCCGATCGATTGGTAGGCGTGATTAGGGGGTCAGCGCAACGCGACACTGACCTCCGAAAATTAGTTACGCATTAACTGCGGTAACATCCACACGTGAGTGAACAGGAGTGAGGAGTGAGACGTGATAGTGCACCATCCCGAGGACACCAGGACAATTAGCTGCCACCAGGATGGTCCAAAAACGGAAGAGAAGGGCAGCGAGAAAATCCATCGTGAGTTTTTACAGGTTATTTTGAGTAGTTCCCCATTTTTGGCGGCTCCCCAATAATTAATTGGCGGTGATGAATTTTTCCGGGCCATGGAAATGGCGTCGGTTGTGTCCCCCACATTTTGGGTGGTTTTAGAGAAGTTGTGGAGGGTTTTACCGAATAATTTCGGTTTACTCTATCCCCCAGTGCGGTTGGGAGGTTATTGGGGTAATTTATGGAGTTTTGGGGGTAATTTTAAGTGGATTTTTGGGTGAAATTGTCCACGGCCAACGAACCAGGCCGGTGGTTCTCCCTCGTGGCGCAATCGAGGCCGCCAACGAGTGGCTGTATGCAACAGGTGGGAAATCGCGCGTTAGATTTCCTCGTGATTATTAATTGTTTTAAGGGGACTAGTTATGCGTCCGTACGCCTGAAATTTTGTGGGGTTGTGGGGGAGAAGGTCCCGAGCCAAATGGTTCAGGGTTTTCCGGAATCTGCCGAGCGGATTCCGAGTGATGGATTTTTTAGTAAAGTTAGATGTTTTTGGGGATTTCTCCTCGCTGCTAACCGAGCAGCGAGGCATAGTGCCGTCTCTCTCGCTCTCTCTCTCGCTCGCGCTCACTCGTTTAGGGGTCCGATTCCGGGAAATTATCCCGGGCGAAAATAATATTTCGGTTATTCCTCGGATTATCGCCAATCGATAATCCTTGAGGCCACATTCCGATGAGATTATTGGATATTAGTATGGGATGTTTGGCGATATATTCGGTAATTGCTAAATAGTTTATTAATAATATGTAAGTAATTAATTAATTTGGTAATTAACTTGGATACTAGTATGGGACGTTTAGCGATATATTCGGTAATTGTCAAGTAATTTATGTTCGCGACGATTTAAGAGGATAATTAAAATTATACTTGGGAATTTTGCTGAAACTCTGGTATTGAGAGAGAATTATCGATTGCTAATAAACTTTGGAAGCAGATTAGCCTAATCAAATTGTTTATCATTTATTATTATTGTACTGAATTTTGACATGAATAGCGGAACACGTAAGGACAATGTTTTGTTGCATAAATCTATTTCTCGCCTCCCGGCCCCTTTCTTTTTGATATTTTTCCCGATTTTGCCATAACCTTGTTCCCATCTACAATCCACCCCTCTCTCCACAACAGGCATACTGAGCGACCCGAGGACCGTCACCTTTCCCCAAAAGCCTAATTATCCTTTCCGTTCCCTTCAGGTTCCCTTTTTGGTTTTTGAGTATGTTTTAGGGTTAGAGTTTTAAGAGTTTGAGTTACGATTTTCGGTGAATCGAATCTCGAGGTTAGTTAAGTTTAGGATTAAGGACTTTTTCCGGTTTGGTAATTCCGGTCAAAAATTACCTGGCGCCCATAAGGTTAAATTTTAGCAGGTTTTTGTTAGGCTCAGGGGAAGTAGGGCGAAAGTAATGGGCATTTCCCATTCACCGGGAAAATGTCACGTTACAGATTTGCTAAAAAAAAAATATAACCTAAATAAGTCAAAGAAAAAAAATAAATTTTATGTTCGTATTACAATCAGCTTTCGACATTAATCAAAAAATGTCAAATCATATATAATTGTGACTATGGATTCACTGATTATAAGAATAATTAACTCTTTAATTAATGAAGGTATTAGCAAACATGGTTTTTCAATGCTTAGAAAGAGACAGGAACGCAAAGAGGAGGAAAACATGATGTTTTCCATGACGAAACATGATGAAAATACTTACTCTTAAACGTTAAAAATTACACTGAAATGACCTGCGAACGAGTTACAATATACTGAATAAATCCATTTATTTAATACCTTTTTCCGGGCTGTTAGCATATTTACTGTAGTGTACGCAAGTTTTTAATTTTTACAAATAAAACCATCAACTCCTAAATTGTGAAACCTTGATTATAATGACCACCAAAATATTCTCTATCGATTATAATTATTTTTTAATTTTTTAATCACAACTTCTGCTCATTATTATTGTGAAAAAAGAAAAATCCATTAAACTAAAACTAATTACTCCCAAATTCTAATTATGTTCTCCTAAATTCCACCAAATTATCACCTAAATATTTACGAAGAAAAAAGTTCGAAAAGTTAATTAAAAAATTAAATTTCTTCCAAATGCACGGTGCCGTTTCTTCCCACTACATGATTGGTCCCACTCACTTTCGGAGAGGCCTGATTGGCCGTCGTCCGATGCCCTGGTCATTTTCCGCTCGGTTCTTTTCGCCGGCGTTAGATGTCGCTCCCTACTACTAGTGACGTTCTCTAGTAATATTCACTACTAACGACAAAATCCCGTTACATAGTATAAAAAAATTTTGTAGTAAAATCGATTCTTTTCATAAAATTCGGTAAGCCCCATTGTTTATGAAATATTTGTGAAAATTTTTTTCTTTTTGTTAATTTTGATGGAAAAAAAGGATTAATTCAATTAATTTTCAAATAAATAAATTGCTATATTAATTGAGATTAATCTCTTTATTTAATCTTCCATCGCCTCTTAGAACAATTTTCAATCAATTGTTTCAAAGTGAGAGAGAAATATGTTTTGTTCTCTCTCTCTCGCTTCTGCGTGTAAGGCCAACCTTACCTTGCTGTCTCCTGACTAGAAGGGGAATCACGCACACGGATGGGCGCAGTCGCACAAATGTACAGCCGTTGAACCCGTCATTGACTCTCCTTTTCACCCCAATATCTCCAGAGGGGTGGTTCTGATCGAAAAGTGGAAAAGGATTTTTCAGTTCAGAACAACCCCTTGTACATGCCGGTTTCGGATTGACGTGTACTTCTTGGGCATCCTGTATACTTCAGCTAAGTATATTCGCGATACTTGAAAAAAAAACGTTGGCAAAATGATCATTTTTAATATGGTTTATACTTAATTCAAGTGTCGATTTTTCAGAACAGAAGTTGAAAAAACAGAGAAATGTTGTGAAATTTGATGCAGATAATGTGTACTGTATCCTTTTTTTTTTCATTTTTTAAGTTGAAAGACCTGGAAGCGGACAATATATAGTAGTTCTGACGCAACATTTTGAAACAACTGAGAAAGCCCTTCGGCCCTGTCGCCTCGTCGCCAATACAAATACGGGACCAGAAAAGGTTGGCTGACACAAGCGTCTCTTCTTAAATCGAGTTATGAGCAAATGAAACCTTAAATCTAATGGATAACCAGAAGCGGAAGTGTAAATCGTGGCCAAACGGAACTCAGCAAAGGAATTAAGGGACAGGGAACGGATGCCTGCAGTTTTGAGTATGCTGATCCATGGAGAGAGAAGTGGAGTGTGGGAAAAGCCCAAAGTATCCTTCCGAAAGCAACCAAATATTGGAACCCCAATAATTGCTATGAAACCTGCCCACTTTATGAAGAGAGCCGAACACGACAAGCCTGATTTTTCCCAGCGAGCTGAGGCCATCGATTCTTATTATACGTACCAGGGCGGCAGAGTATTCTGAAGAAAAAACCATATTTGGTTGTACGAAGCGCCCCTCGATTGTCCCAAAACGCGGACGTCCCTAAAAGTAGTGCTAAAGGACACAGCTAAACTGCGAGAAACCTCCGCGCAGCTCCGCGAAGCCTCTTGTAAGTTTCAGACATTCTCTCTCAATAATTTCATCTCTCCAAAATTGTATTGCAGTTCAAATACCCACTCGCCTCATTACTCACGGAAGGTTTTCGTTTCACTATGGCATTTTCCGTCCGTCAATAACCAACTAATTTGTAGGGATTTTACAACATAAGTTAACACGAAGATGTTAGAATAACATTACTGCAATTTCTACATGTTACCTGAAAAGAGAAATAAATAAATTACACAAGATGGATAAAATAAAAGAAACAGTTCTTCGATCACCCAGTTTCACTAAGATTGTATTTTTGTTCTGCTTGATGTATGGTTTTGGATAACCTACTTCCGTTCGACCGGGACTATCCTTTTCAATAGTTCTGCATAACAAGATACAAGTCCCACTGTTTCTAAATTCTTTGGCGACCAGGATTTATTGGATAGGCCGTAGATTATGTGTACTCACATTTACAATTATTCTTTATTAACAACAATGTAAGGTTTTTTTGTTCCGTCATGAAATGGACTGGTAGCTTGATAAAATTATATCGACATACAGTATTACAAGAACACATAGGAACACCAATCCAAACACGTTTGTGTACTCTTCGCTGTAAAAGAATGGTCCCAACTGGGTACCCCACTGTGGAAAAATTAAACTATGAGTGATTGTTCGGTACTACTATTAAAATTTACGACCAACTTTTGATAGCGAATACTTTAAATGCATTGAAATCGACTCTTGAGCTGTTATCGTTACACTCAATTTGTTCGTGTTACAGATTCCACCCATAACAAAGTCTTATTCTGTGTTACAGATTATCACTATTTTTCTCTGAAACGAGCATATGAGGTTCAGAATTTTGTGCTATTTATGTCGCGAATAAGTATTCAACCAATGGATGCAATTGAACACCAGGGACCCTTTTCTGTGGGAAATAAAATTTCAGATACTCAAAACATTTCACTACTTCTCTTGTATTTTGATTATTCTCGAAATAATCTGTTAGTTCTTTTTGAATATCTTCCCACAGCTCGGGCCTGAGAAGTCATTTAATCTACCGCTTCATTGATCAATTTAAATACAATGACCAAAGTTAGAACGAACTTGGCAGTCTCTAGTCTTGGAAATTGTTTTATATGTGACTCTCATAGTAGTGTTATATCCATACCAGCAGAGTCCGAAATGACTCATAGTGAAGGGAGTGTTATGATTAGAAACAATTTGTTTCAATATAGAACCCGATAATGTATGTTCAGCATTATACGCAGAATGCCTCCATCATTGAGGTCGAATAGTAGAACTTGCCTCCATACCCTCAGGTGATATTCTCATGTTACCGTTAGTGATATAACCATTATCATCGATACCAGAGTGAACAACGTAATTTTGATCTCTGAGCAGCACACCATTGCTATCAGAAATGATATGATGATTACCAAAAGCAACGCAGTTTGGTTGCCCATCATGAACTGAGCGGTCAAGTTCGTTGATTGAATTAACGCGATTTGCACTACCATAATCTGTATCAAGGTCCACTGTTACATCACTACCTATAAATTCACAAACTGAAATATTCTGCATCGTGTAAGCTGCTAAAATCTGTTGAGGCGATTCAGTGGTGGTTGAATTGTTCGAATCATTAGAGCAGTTGATATGGCCATTGGTAATTATGTAGACATCCGGATCAACCTTGACTTCTGACGTCAGAAGCGACTCTACGGATCTGTAGATGAGCATATAGTCTTCCTGCCAAATAAAATGTATAATCAGTTGATTATCTTTGTAAATTAATGCATGTAATTTATTTTATTTAACTATGAATAATTTCGCAAAATAATTAGTGCGATGGAGAAGTTCGTCATTTGATATGTGAGTTAGTCCAGTCAATTGAACCTTTAACGCTTAACTGATTCAGCAGCCCATGAAAATACATCAGTAAATCTGTAACAATGCTCTGAAAAGTAGTAGCGGAAGGTTACGCATGAGATACAGGTTACGCCCAGGAACCAGTCAACGTGTTACAGCGTGTTACATTTTTTAGGTTTTTTATTTATGCATTCAAATCTACTGATTTATCCTGATACAAAATGAAGATTTTTTTTTATATGCACAACTTGCCTTCTTACTTCTTCAATATCTAATTTACATGAGATGAGAAAAGTGTCAATTAACAAAATAATCTTTCTCTTTAGTACCCTTTTTACCCTTTAGCACTCTTTTAGTACCAAGGTGTTTTACTTTTTTTAAATAATAATGTTCGAAGTAATTGGTTCCGTGACAAGTACTCATTTCCAAAAATTCTTCTCCGGTACTAGTGAACGATTTTCGCTTAAATACTGCAGTGAAATCTGCAGAGGGAAGTAAGATTCCATCGTTGAGAGGGATAGCGTCCATTGGAAGAGCGCTTGACTCAGTATTACCAGATGAACTATAAGTTCACCCTAGAGACATTTCATTTCACCTCAGACAACCCTAAATATCTATATGTATATATAGATTATAGTAACTAGGGTGTAACTTAGAGCAGAGGTGGACAACCTCAGGTAGGCTCGGCGCTGTAGCCATAAAATTATCAAGGTTTCAATTATAAGGGACGTAACGTGATTACAAGGGTTGGCGTATATTTGAGTAGTGGTAACATCGAGCGATGGCACATGCGCGTGATTGAAATGTGAGGGCAAAATGGTTTCAATTTTTATGCACGTGATTGAACATTTTCTCTTTAATTAAAAAAAAATGGAATTAAGAGATTATAGTTTAGATTCAATATTCATCGGTGGAAATGAAAGTAGGATGCTCGGCAACTTGAGAAAGAAATATTTCATCGTCAATTAAAGGTTAAAGGCTGCCGATAATTTTTTTGATTGTGAAAAATTTGTTCATCGTAATTTAGCATCGAACGGATGATATAGAACTGAAGAGTTTGAAAATGCATGTCAAGTCAGGTCTGTTAACAACCTGGTAATATTCAATAATGGTTTTTCAACCAATGTTTCAATTAGAATTTTAAAATTACTTCAAGAAATTTATGAAAGGTACGAAATTTTTTTTTATAAAGACGATTAAAAGCAACCAATAACCAAACAAAAGCATAACAACAAAAAAACAATAATTTAAAAAATATTTCCATTAGAGAAATCATAATTTCACTTTTCCCAGCACCGAGTTTTTGCCGAATATCCCTACGCTACTACTACCCCGTACAGCCCTTCCCTAAAAATTGAGGTTCAAAATTGATATACGTAAGGATACATGTTCTTAGTGTACATTCTGCGCAGCATAACAGTTATGATTAAACAAAGAATTCTTTTGAAACAATGTAAACGGGGTGAAACCTTCGCCTGATGGGGATTCGAGTAAATCTTCTTGCGCATTCTGCAAGACTCCTCTCATTGCCCACAAAAAGAGCTTGATGATTCACGGATAAACGTCCAAGTATAAACAGTGCGTCAAAAATGATTAACTCGCCAAAACCTTGCCAAAAATGAACAATTTTACAAAAATTTCTCTCCCTCAAAGGAGAAAAACGGCAGAATTAAAAATGAAAATTTGTGTAGGACGTTCATTCTTTTCTCTCATCATCGATATATGTGATGATCCATTACTTCAGTCAGGCAAAAAAAAAGTGGTGATAACATTTTTGTTGTACTCTGCGGAGGGGGTACTTATATTTATTGTAGGTTCTAGGCGTTAAAGAATAAATCCCACCAATAGCTTTTAGGTATTTATATATGAGAGTTTATTACTTCAACTATATCATCTGACTGATTTCCATGATTACGATTATTACACGTCGGAGCCCGATTTGGATCTGAGATCTGCATACCCAAACGCCTATAAAATCTATAATTCTTTGAATGTCATGACTTGATCAGCATAATCCAGCTGCGCTGGCAAGTGGGGCGCGGCCGCTGTTGTATGATCAAATATTTAGTAATAACTGAATTGACCAAGATCTGGGGCATAACATATTATGAAATGATCCTTAATTAAAAAACGCACGTAACGTTTCGTATCACCGTTTTATTTTGCTAAAGTATCGTATAATATGATAACTTTAAAAAAAAAATTAAATATCATATTATAATAACATATTAGTGTCATATTAATATTAATAATCGAGATACGCGGTAGCATATCGGCGAAGTAAAAGTTTCGTCTCTATCGAACAAATAAGGCCGAGAGCTACGGTGTATCTATCCACTACCTCGCAATCGTATTCAATCCATAAAATACAAACCCCACAAGTTATATGAAATCTGTGCACAGTTACATTCTATGAATGGCCCTCAAACTTTTCATTGATATAAGCTTTCCCTCTTTCCGAGTAACATTAGCGAAAATACGCCCATGGCAACGGGCTCATTTCAATATTTTCCCGATTTCTATTATCTTTCGGTTACATTGAAGTTACTAAGTTGGCAACAGTTCCATTCAACCTAACCTGGACCAAATTTGGCGTTGAGATGTTGCCATCAGTGTATTCAAACCGTTGAATTGTAACAGGGAAACAGAGGAGAGTGTTTTATTTCTTCCCTCAAATTTTATGATTTTTATTTAATTCCATATTATAATTGTTTATTTCATGGTACGGAATATTAGCTGTGCGTTTTGTTGGAAAATTATATGCGGTTCTTGACCTATTTATGTGTGTAATTACACATGTGACTGAAGTCAATTTTGGAGGTTAATGGAAGTATGGATTTCGAGATTTCGGTCTAACATATTGTAACGAGATTTTTCTCGTTACTAGAGAAAACCCTAGGAAAGTCGCTAGACGAAATGAACGACATTTAACGACGGCTGAAATAACCGAGCGGAAGATGAGTTGAAACATCGGACGACGGCCAATCAGGCCGCTGCGAATGTGAATTAGACCAATTACATAGTGGGAAGAAAGGTGGTAGGGTGAGACCATATTTCGGAACACTGTGATGGCGCTGGCGATAGCTGTTTCTCAATTCGAAAATCCACCCAGCTGTGTTAGGGAGTCCAGGGCCGACGTACAGGCGTTCCAACTGGGTGGTCCTGAAGGGCGCTGTCGACTTAGACCAGGGACCAACGGCTAGGTGAAAGGACTAGCGCCCCCGGGATCCCGTCGAGTTGATTGGTGGCTGTGGGGTAACGGATGACCCACAGTCGCTGAGATGCGCAGACTAGGGGGAGAAGGCCCTGGGAGATTTCACGGCAGTTAGCGTTGAGTGCTGGTCTCGAGCAGATGTTTTAGGAGCTGGGGATCAGTTGGTGACACTAATCCCTGCCGGGATTATGAAGGATACGTGGTTCCAAGGAAGCTTGGAATAGCGAGAGAAGGGGACGCTTATGCGTCCCCGGTCAGTAAAATGGATTACTTTGAGGCTGCGGACGAGAGTCCGAGGTTACAGAGATCCATATCTAGTGCGAAACTCATGGTGTTGGGGTGGACTAAGGGCCGGGATTCAAGGCGTTTCCCGTCGGTCCGGTCGTACGCGCCTCCATGGGGAGTAACTCTGGTTTTGACTCGCGATGAGATTGCTATTACCGAGCTCTCGAGTTGAGATGGATTTTCGGTGGGTGAGAAAGGTCTTCAGATACCTGCGTCGCATGTGCCTCGAGGAGCTCGGCACCCTGCGGGGTGAGAGGGATTCGTAGGTGATCTGTGTCTCTTTTGGGGTTGAGCTACCCCAGAGGAGAGAGTACAGCGTGCCAGGGATGGTCACATTCCTCCATGAGAATTTTGGGGGATACGTCCCCCGAAAGATACCGATGACGACGCCGTAAGCGCGGCATAAGTTAGCGATTGGAGTTACTCGTACGTTGGTGAACCTCGCCCACTCTACCGTGTCACGCTGATTCTGGCTCGGCATTGTGAGACCCGCCACCGAAAGTCCGCGGAGTTGACGAAATTCCTTCGCGGCTGGTTTTCCGTCAGGTTTTCCAGAAAAACCTGGCTGGCGCCCAATCGTGATCGATAGATGCGGCAGCCAGAATAGTTCGAGGAGTATCCCGGGGTGTTGACCCGGGAAAAATCCTCTTACAACTGTAACGTGGGATTTTACCCGTTACTGGTTCTCGACCGTTTCGCGATTCTGAAGACGTCCACCAGACGGGAAGTCATTTTCAATGGCGAGAGTTTTTAAGAAGAGAAAAAAAAAATATATGTTTTGACTGATTTTATTTTGTTTTATTTTGATTTAAAATCACGCGCCACCGCTTTTCAATCCGAGGACATCGCCAAGGATCCCTAGACGCCGAGAGATGTCATCGAACTCCGATTTTCTGATGACAACTGGATTTTCGATGTGGCCGATACTGGAGCCACAATCCAGCTATCAATTGCCACGGAAGTGACGTATCACCAGAGCACGAGGTTTCGCAAATAACGGAAAAATAAAAATAAGTTAATCAGGAGAGTTACTATTCTCTCATGGGTAGCAATTAACGCATAAATAATGTAAAAAAAAATTTAATTAAGGGAAGCGCTGAGAATTTATTCTCAATTATTGTGGACAGTAAATTATAAGTAAAGCATCGGGAGTTTAAAAAGCGCATGCGTTTGATGAATTTTTCTGTCGCGAAGGCCCGAATTATTGCATAGCAAAAACTCACGTTTTTGTAAAAAAAAACTGTGCCATGTAAAAGTCGTAAAAAGAATCGTATCACTTTTCTTGACATTTTCCTTTACATTTTTCGAGTTTTTTTAATTTACAGAAAAGTCATATTTTGGCCAAAGGCGAGTTTTTACGGAATCAATGAAGCGAGACTTT